ACTATAATGTAACCACTCCGCAATGAAAACATTAGAGGAACATTCTAATAACATAGGTATAAACTTTTACTGTGTATTTAGGTGGCTTTGGGTATAGTGCTTCTTGGAATGCTGTACTATATTTGGTCAGAATTGTTTGGACTGATGATGTCAGATATGCTGCATCTGTTATGCACTAGTGTAATCTTTTGTCCTGATGTTACAAAAATAGAGAGAACGCATATACTCAATTGATTTATCCCCTTCCTTTGGGTTCGAAATATTTCATTCGAGAAATACTGATCAATAAATTAGTTTATCGCAGCGAGAACTCACATTAGATATTTATTCTCAATACATTTGACGTTTAAGCCACAGCATGATCTACGTGAGGCGGGTTTTCGGCCTGAAAGTTCCTCCAAAAAATGATAAAATATGACCACGTCTTATGATAGAAATATTAAAAAATTACCACTTAAAGTATTATTATTCGTGTAATTACATTTCACAGGACTTCAAGAATCACTTAAACACCATTTCATATAAATAGTTTCTTTCTTCTTCTTTCAAAGTAATGATCGTAAAACCAAAGCGATCTGGGATCAGAGTACTAATACAGAGAAGAAAGACCAATAAAAAACTGCTTACAGAAACTGGTCAATCAATATCCCATGATATCAAGCACTTATGCACGGTCGTTAAGTTGGGCGTGGCATGTAGCTCGTAGCAATCCAACTGGAAGCCTCTATGTAACAATAAATGCCTCAATAGAAGGCAAAAGAATATGTAGATGGCCAAAAAGCAGATCGATAGATAGAATCGACAAATATGTAATAGAGCTACCTGCAGATAAATGGAAAGAAATAGCCCAAGACAGGCAGAGATGGAGCACGCTTGTTAAGGCGGCAAAAGATCTACACGGTCTATAATGCCAACAGAAAAAAAATTATGTATATATATATATAAAGCGTTTGGCCTGAAGTCCCCAAAATTAAATCCTGGATACTTTAGTGGTGTAAGCGACATCTGTGAAACATGTTTATAAAATATAATATTATGAAGACAGTTAATTCAACTAACAATTGGTGAAGCTTTATAGGTTACCACGGCTGTTAAAGAAACAATTTAATGAAATGAGTTATTAGCTCGATCTTCTGAAAAATATCCCTCCACTTAAATAGTTAAGAAATAAGATCTATTTGTTTAGAGCAGAAGTGGCTTCATTTGTAGTTTTTCCAGTAAGAGTACGGGGGCGATACATGCATATTTTGTTTTTTATTTCTTGAAAATATCAAAGCGTTTCTTATTATCCGAAATGTCCAAGGTATCAAAGAACTATTATCCTCTATTTACCTTTTCAATAGTTTTTTGGTTTGTCGAAGGCTATCATACATAGCAACATTTCAAATCTGAAAACCTAAAATGTGATAAGTATCACGTGGAAACCAAAGAGATTTTCGGCAAGAATTGTGGTTTATCTCGAAAGTGGTAAATTTTGTACTTTTAAACGCAGAGTCAATTAAAAATAATAGCATTATAAATAAAAATAACATTTTGGCCAATGTTTTCATATAATACATCAATGTAATAAACAGCAAAAAAAAAAAAAATTATAATATTAACGTGGGTAAAAGCGCACATGGGAATACCAGAAAATGAGAAGGTAAACGGCCTTGCTAAAACCTCCGTTAACTTACCTCATGTTATAGACATCAAATTATTAATTAAAGTTTAATAGCTTCCCAATTAATTATAGTTAAAACTATTACTTACCGATGATTAAAGAAAATATGGTAAACAAATGGTCCCTTCATTATCACGTGTCTTCCACAGGCATTTTTCAAGTCCAATATACCGCAAATTCTAAACAAGCCAAGGTTCTTCGTATTAAACCTACCAAATGATATAATTAAAAATGTTTCTAGAATTAGAACAAATCAAATGGGCTATGCAAAGTATAGCTGCAGCGCATTTGAGTTTAAAATTCATATAAATGTTATAAATGTAACCAAAAAGGAACACAAAGGAACATATCATTATGGAATGCCTTGCCTACCAAGATCAGAGAAGGAAATCCATAAATCCATGCAATGATCCAATCTATATAAAAAATTAGTAGCATCGAGTAACCCCGAGGAAATTATCAAGCAATATTTTTATTCAATATATAGATATAATAAAATTGAAATAGTGAAGAGTAGGAACACAGCCAAGTAATTTTACTGGATGCATGGAAAGTTCCAAGGGCAAAAAAAAACGCAATGTCGTTATTGTTTCTTTTTTTATTTTGCCGTCAAAATTAAAAAAAAAAATTTATCCTGTTCAGATTCATCAAATTTTGAAATAATTTGAATTTCGAAACCTTCTTAATTTGTATAATCACTTTCATTGTAGTTGTAGTAAGCTTTTTATACACTCTACTTTCATTTAATAACTCATTCATCAAAATCCATCGCTCCTGATAGCCGGAAGATATAATATGCAGTGTAGATATATAGTTTATAATAAAAAAATATTAAAAATTTTTAGTTAGTAATATTATGTAATTTACTCGATTACAATGCATTGAGCGAAATTAGTCTTCTCTTATTTCTACTGTCTTCGGTTTTAATCTCAAAAATATAACATATCAAAAACATTTTCCTCATCTAGATTTCGAGCTCTTACATTTACAATACTTAAAACTTTTGTAACTTAAATTAGGAGAATTCCTAATATACAGGGGAATAGTAGATAAGAAGGAGAAAAAACAAAATGGACGGTAGGTAGTACGCTTAGGTACACGCTAAGGAGACACAAGCCTTGAAGGAGAAGTGAAAGGGGGAAAGGGATAGAATTTAAGAGATGACAAATTTCAAACAAAATTGTATTTTTATGTTGAATTAAATTTTTTATTTGTGCTTATTTACCACAATTCAGCTAATGAAAAGAGTTTATGTTATAAGATGATATTTATTTGAAAATATACTACCGGTGCCCATCTCCTCCCACCAAGGTCGCTGATGGAAGATCCTACCCCACACTTCCCATGATATTTTATTGCTCATCTTTTCTCGAAAAAGACAGTTGTGTGGTTTATAAAAGCAGATGGAGTGACTAGATTTTTATTGCCTACCGTCGATATATTAAATAGACATTTTGTAATTATAATGACTTGTTTTCTGTAAGCTTTAAACTTTAGCTCGGTTTAAAATGCAATTCAAAAAATTTTATAATAGCCCAGTATTGCCATAAAATAATTTCTATTCAAAGTAGAGCGGTAAGTAAAAGTTGTGTGTTGTGCGCATCAGATTTTTTAGTATTAAAAGTGATTTTTCGGCCATTACTAGAACCATTATCAAGTCATATTTTGTACTTCATTGACAATCTCCTTCACTTGACTGTTTTAATAATGAACAAATCGTCGATTGCAAAAAAATAGTACATTTTTGATATACAAAGTTTACTTTCAAATTTTTATAAATTTCGACTTTATTTATCGATACAAAAACACCTTAAGGCCATGAAAATCAACCAATCCCTTTTACACATCACATATAGTTGCAGGAAGTACTGGTTTTATAAAGGAAAAATTGTTTATGGTTCTTAATTAGTCAAGGTTATGAAATGGCACTTAAAGACTTTTCGCAACAAACCGATGAAATATATCTTGTTATTTAAGAAAGTCAACAAACATAAGTTGATTCCGTCGGCTGTTTAGGTTTGGTTAAAGAGGTTAAGTAGAAAGGGACTAAATTAAAACAAATGAATACAAAATAAATACTATAATATCATAAACATATTAGTAATATGTACGTAATTCTACTCAAAGAAAATTAATGAGATTATAAATAATAAGAAAAACTAAGGTGTGTGCTTTAGACCACACGATAGAAATGAAAACATCAGCAAGGCCAAATTAATAATATGAACTATAAATTATAAATAATATCCTATTACAGAGAGGATGAACTGCTAAACAATTCCATCGCTTACAGTATGCAGGTCCAATTTTTAGTTTCTGAGATATTTTAATCCATATTTAAAATTGTTTCAATTAGTTGAGTCTAGCCGACTGTACCCGAGCGTTAACACTTCGGAAATCTGATGGATCATTCTAATTCCAGAAAAAAGTGCAAAACGCATCTTAAGAAGTTTACACTTCAAATCTTTTCTTAACGAATATCATCGAAGTAAAAAATAAAACTTAATGAAGGCTTTAGTTTTGTACGAAACATTGACTTTAAAATTATAAAACTGCTATAGAAAATAGTGATGAGATAGCTTTGTACTTGAGATCAGTATAATATCGAGTTCATTTATTTTCTGTAGTTTCTTCATATCCAAATTTAGAAAATTATTCCTCAAATAGTCTTGTTTTTATTTCTATCACTTGTGGAAACTCTTCTTGCTTTGCACCATATTCATTCATGTTAATCTATATCCATCAGAGTCTGACCCGAAATGGACGAAAAATGTACTCTCTCCTTCATTAATATATTTTAAATTCGACATCCAGGTGGACGATCCATAGATTAATATAAATGAATATGATGCAAAGCTTCTTGAAGTTATAGAAATAAACCTGAGACTTTTTGAAAGCCAGTTTTCTATATTTGAAAGATAAAACATACATTTTTACCGTTCATACATTTTTTAATAGGTTAAAATATTATTTTTTTCAACTCGTTATCAGTTCTTGAGACTCTCCTCTCCCTCTTCTCTCGACAACCAACTTCTCAAGTTATTTCCAAATTTCCCTGGGAACTATTTACGCATATTCTGGTTATTGATTAATCCAACGATCGCATCGATCAAATCAACGGTCAACTGTTTAACATAATAATTTAAAAGATTTTCAGTACTGAGCCGACAAATCAAACCGTTATTATCTAAGATAGTTTTTCTGACATTGTTTTTTTTTTTTGTTTTTTTTTAACAACTGCTGATTGAAATAAATGTTTTTATTTCCTTGTTCCTCCGGCCTCTGACCTCAGTCTGATAGATTGCCCGTTGTATCCCTTAGTCTGTTTTGTGTACCACTCGGTTCCTAGAAAAATAATACAATCCTCAAAAGTACTCGTGAAAAATATATCAAATAGGGAAAGGTTATAAACTAGATATGTTTCACAGAAACTCATTTACGCAGGCAAGAATGGCGGATTCCCCCCTTTCAACGGTGGTGGGGAGCGTAAATATCTTCAAGACGTCGTCGAGGCGGTCATTCACTGTGATTGTATTGATGTGTATGGTTTGCGAGTGTTATAATAATGGTAAGTTATAGTTGTATTATATTTACATAGCATAATCCATATAATTAAAAAATGTGACCGGCAAGTGAAATTGATACATTTTTTTTGACATGAAATAACAAATCGATAACATAACAAAACATGTATGTAATATAATTTGATTTCTTTATAAAAATATTTATTTTGGTATGTATAGAATTCTTTCTATAAACGTCTTGATTCCTTCTTCATGAATTCTGTAAAACAATTCGGATCCAATTGCCAGTTTCGGACATTCGGTTTAATAGAAAGTAATCTAGGTCTTGAAAAGAGGTAATCATAATATTTACTAATTAGCGAATTTCAAAATTAATAATGTACTTTATTTACTAAACTAATAATTGGTTATAGTAATATAACCACCTAAACATTTCATATTTTACGTCCTCATAAACTTGACAAAAACTGTTTTTTTTTTTAATATTTAAATATATTTTGTTGCATTCAAACAATTTCATCAACTGAAGTTTACTCAATCCATAACAATGAACTACCTTACAAAAACACATGCGATTATTATCTATCGTTAAGAACAAAAGTCGTTTAAAAAATAAATAAAAAGTAATCTCAAATAACGGCAAATAACAAAACAATTAATTTTAGGATAATTTTACTTTTGTTGAAAATTCTTTTTTAAAAAATTGATATTTATTATAATTCCCTTCGTAAAGTAAATATAGAGCATTGTATATGATATATGTGTTTTTTACTGCTATAGAAAAATGTATTTATAGGCAAAGATACACGAACATTAGTTAATTTACCTACCTATTTAAGCCATGCAGCTAACTAAATATAAAAGTTTATATTTCTTTAATGACCTTCATTGAATAAATTTTGTATAGTTTTGTTTGGTGTTATCGTTGGTCAACGATAAGAGGAGATAAAGTCTTTTTCCAATTTTTATTCAAAGATTTTCCATTTTGACAAGACAACATTGATGGAGTTTTATTTAGCAATTTTAGGTGTATATCGATCATTTGCTACAACGAAAATCGTGATTTTTTAAAATTAAAACCATTTGGATGATTGCTATGATGAGCTTTTAAAAACTGTGTTATTTCTGAGCATTCAAGGAAAATCGTCATTTTTTTTAATATCGTATATTTAAGTTCTATCGAAATTAATAGAATATTTGAAACTTCAGATGCATTTTTTCACAAAATCTGAATTTCGATTTTTGGTTTTAATCCAGGAAATGAACAATATATACTTTGTGAAAATGTCAACAATAAATAAGGTTGAAAACCTGATAACCTTGTTTGCATTTGAATGTTTACAAACAATGTTTATTAAATAATAATCAACTATATTTTTCTCTTCTCCTCAGGTTGTGCTTTTTTTTTTTTTTTCGGGTATATATGTTCATATTTTATATCTTTGTCTTTATGTGTGCCAATATGAGAATGTACGTATAAATAGTTCCTTTTAGTTATTTTTTTTTCCGTTACACCACAAGTATCGTAAGACTTTATTTTATCTTAGTGTCTGCATATTATTATATAAACCACTGTAGATATTATTTCATTTTGTATTAAGTTAGTTTTCAATTAGGTAGCCTATTGTTTATAAATTGTGTTATGTATATATAAATATGTAATTTCTTCTTCTTTTTTTTTTTTTTTCATCACAATTAAGTAATTTTGAGAAGATTTTATGTTCATTTGTACATATATTTTATTTTTTATGTTTTACTGGTTAAATACTTTTTAAATAATGTATATAATATTAAAATTTTTAGAAGTTAGTTTTTGGCCAGATTTGTACTTTACTTTGTATTAACTCATCATTGTTATTCTAAAGGGACTTAGTCCCAGAATAAAGTTTAATTTTCTATTCTATTCTATTACAAGACAAATAGTTATCATCGTCATTAGAATAAAATAACTCTCTTAGAAGGCATTTCATTCAGTAGAAAAATCCCACTTATTTAACCATAATCATCAAATTTTGATTTATATAAAAAAGGATTGCCCTCGACTTCAGGATAACCATTACAAAGGAAAATATTGACACTGTAGCGGTAATACAAGCTGATCCAACAACTGATTCATCAAAGTTTCGTCATTTATTGATACTCCTCTGCATCCAAAAGAAGACTTTTAAGCTTTTTCAGACGAAGCTCGTCTCCTGATAATGGAGTTTAAGATCTTCCTTACCATGAAGGCAACCAAGGAATTGAAGACGATACTATATATCGATTGCCCAACATAAGTCAATTTTCAAGCTGTTTTAACTAGTAATCCATGTAATTGCACATTTTATTCGCTGGCATGTAGAAATTTCAAACCTGGCAATCTATCCATTCACGATCTGTAGAATAACATTTTGAAATTTTATATTGCATAAAATTGCACGTTTTGTTGTTGATTTTTATTTTTTTAATTCATCAAAGTGCACATTTTTGCAATATTTGTTCTAGATAAATATCTTGTCCATATTTAACTTATAATTTAAGATGGAATACATCACCTAATGGTAATGATTAATCACGCCTTATTTATATTCACGATTTCAAGCCTTAATTATCAAATTATCAAAGCTTAATTTCGATCTTGGAATATAATTCAAAAACTTATTTTCCCTAAGAACAACAATAAAAGGCGTAACAGTGTACCCTAATATTTCTGAAAGTTATCGAAGTTTTTTAAGCAGTCTTCGACGTGCAGGAGCTGAATTTCACACTTACCAGGTCGGTAAAGATAAAAATATGAGAATTCTCATTAAATATCTTCATCATACAACTCCCGTTTCGGAAATAAAAAAAACTATTTGCAAAAATATGGATATGAAGCCTGCAATATCTCGGTTTAAGAACCCTCTATTGATATTCTTTATTGACATCACGAAATCAACATATAATGAAAAAAAAATCGACATTACTACTATGTATTGCAAAAATTACAGTAGAAGAGCCCAGAAAAAAACAAAAAACAATGCATCAGGTGTCAACAATACGGGCATACCAGAACATATTGTAATCATAGATCTCGTTATGTTAAATGTGGACTCGGCTATGATAGCTCAACATGCAAGAAGACGAGGGAAACACCTGCGAAATGGGCGAATTGTCGTGGTAACCATACAGCTAATTACCGTGGCTGACAAATTCTCAAGGACCTCAGGACACAACGGCCTCAAGAAGTAATCGTCCTTAGCGTTCTTCGCCTCTCCCTCCGAATCCCACACAACTTCTAGCCCTGCCTCAGCCATCGCAGACCCAGCGAGCAACACACAATAATACGACGAAAATACAACCTCCTCAGTAGGAATCCCAAATTTAGCAGATGGGAGCGAACATTATTAATGGGATCCTAATATTAAACCGTGATGTTCAGGCCTGAGGCTGGATGTCTCCCAGCAGCCAATTTCAGCTGATAACTTTGTCTCTTCTCTATTGTTTCAATTACTAAACATGGTCTAAACTCTCCTATCCAGCCCCTTTTTAGCCTCCTCCAACAACTTGCTCAGGTGACCCAAGTCATATGTCCACCCAATGGCTCCTAATCAGCTGACTGCGGCCTGTATCTAGATGTAAACCATATCTCATACCATTAGTACGAGTTCTGATCTTTGCTCTGATCATTTCGCAGTGCATTTTATTATGCGCGATGAGGTAATCAACGCTCAAACAAGAACATCACTTTTTACTGGCCCAATTGACAAGAACCTTTATAAAGAATTTTTGGATTTTTTCATTAAAAGTGAAACTAAACTGGAAGAAGCAGTTGAAATGTTCACCTCAACCACTAAAGAAGTTGCTTGTTCTGCATCGATATCCAAATTCAAGCCCAGAGGAACTGAGCAATTACCTAAATATCCTCAGTACATAAGGGATTTGATCAGAGCAAACAGATGAGCGCGTAAGATATGGCAGACTAACTGACACAAATACATTTAACAGACTAAATAACAAACTTAAAAGAGAAATTCAGCAGGACAAACTATGATGAATACATATATGTTATTTCGACTGACGATGGAAGCTTTTGGAAGCTGCTGAAACATCGAGATGTGTCAGCACCCCTTCGAAGAGAAGATGGTTCTTGGGCCGTTTCGGATGAGGACAAATCTGAACTCTTCACTCATCATCTTTCTTCTCTATTTAAACCATTCTCTGATTTCACAAACATTGAACATCAGACCCTCATTCTTAACACTTTAGACATTCCTCTGCAACATTCCTTCGTTCACTCCATCGCAAGTCGTACTTCAAATCAAACATTTACCTAAAAGAAAAGCCACTGGTTATGACTTAATTACAGCCGAAGCGCTCCAACAGATGTCCAGGAAAGTTATAGTATTTCTGATAACAATTTAAACGGTATATTGAGGACAGCAAAAAACAGCAGAAACTAAATACATACCTACATTTACTTAAAGCAATATAGACTTACTCCTCACAGATATACGGTATAAAGCTAAGAAGAGTCACTTACACAAACTTCAAACTTTCCAATAAAAAATATTACGACTTACAACTAAAGCACCTCGGTACGTGACAAACAAAACCTTACTACAGACTTCCTTCTGTCTGCAGTTGACCAAGACATAAGAACTCTTTACAAACGATTTCACAATAATTTACACGGACTTACTAACATACTAATCAAAGATATCGATTCAGCTGACACACCCATCAATGTGAGGAGGAGACTAAAAAGGCGCTGAATGAGTGACCTCTTTCCTTAACAAACCATGGTAATTGATTTAAGCCAGAGAAGAGGTAGTGCTGAGTGCTATCCTTCCCCATTCCCGACATGTCAGTTTCATTACTTTTATCAGACCATCTGCTGATTGTTGACAGTTGTCAACAGGTGCAGATTGATATTCAAAGATAAAAGAAACAAAAATAGAAATATATGAAGAAGGTAAATAATACTGTGATGAGCAACTATTCAAATTTAACGTAACAAAAGGAAGTAGTAAACAAAAGTGAGGCATATTCTTGGAATAGAACTGTTCTAAAGTATTAGATTATA